ATTTCGGACGAGGTGCTCCCGGAGCGTCCCGGCGAGCGAGCCCTAGAGCGGCGAGGACCGGATCCGCTCTGAGGTCCAGCCTCAGAGCGAGGCTGAGGCGACGGAGCAGGAAGAGTCAGAGTCGGCGGAGGACGCTGCCGGCTCGGGGGTCGGTGAGATGCCTCCGGGAGATTTGGGGCCCCTGGGAAGCCTCGGGGTGGACGGCGACGCCGCGTGGACGGCAGCCGAGCCCGCTCCAGAGGCGGCCAGCCCGCCGGAGCGGAGCACGAGCCCACTCCCGACAGAGCAGCGGGGCACGAGCTCGCTCCCGACAGAACAGCGGGGCACGAGCTCGCTCCCGACAGAAGAGCGGGACGCGAGCCCGCCTCCAACAGAACAACGGGGCACGAACCCGCCCCCGACAGAACAGCGGGGCACAAGCCCGCCCCCAACAGAACAGCGGAGCACGAGCTCGCTCCCGACAGAAGAGCGGAGCACGAGCTCGCTCCCGACAGAACAGCGGGGCACGAGTTCGCTCCCGACAGAAGAGCAGGGTGCGAGACCGCTCCCAACAGAACAACGGAGCACGAGCCCGCCACCGACAAAACAGCGGAGCACGAGCTTTCTCCCGACAGAACAGCGTGACGCCAGCTCGCTCCCAACAGAAGAGCGGGGCACGAGCCCACTCCCGACAGAAGAGCGGGCCACAAGTTCACCCGCGACAGAACAGCGGGACACGATCCCGCTCCCGACGGAAGAGCGGGACACGACCCTGCCCCCGACGGAACAACGGGACACGACCCCGCTGCCGACAGAACAGCGGGGCTTGACCCCGCTCCCGACAGAGGAGCGGGGCCGGGGCAGCTCCAACAGCTGCAGCCAGCAGATCGGTAGGTGCTGACCGGGTCATGGATGTATTGCGCATGGCGACGATGAAAGGTGTGGCGCATGCCCCCCCCCCCCTACCCCCTCTGTCTCAGTGATTAAAAGGGACGCGATAAGCCAAGTTTCGAGCATGCTTACGGTATGGTGGATAGTCTGTGACAGTTTGGATCGGGCTCGATGCACACACGTGCTTTTCATAAGGTGCATGGCCTCGAGGGGACCCGCACATTGGACGTCATCTCCAGGGCCGCCTGCCACTGGCTCCAGTTCTGCCGTACATTCTGCTGCCCCGGTCATCAAGGTCCTTCGTTGTTGTTGTTGTTGTTTTTAACTGCTGCTGTGATAGGGCTGTCCCATAGTCTAAGACAGGTGCGCCTGCTATCCCAACAACAGCGCTTATCCTGACGAAGGGCATTGCGTAATTGAGCGTTTTGTTTGCCTGCATGACATTTAAAATTGCGGTGATGAAAGGGGCTTTCGGCGATAGCCTGGTTCCTGATGACACTGCCGGACATAAACCTCATTACCATTTCATGTCATGTCGCATTACGCTGCTGGCGACAATTTTGCCTCCAGAAACTCGGTCGGCAACAAAAAGGGCGCTTTTACTACTACCCTTACATGATTGTTAAGTAAATACCCTCCTCAGTACCTCATCGTTCGATTGCGTCATGGAACGATTTGATGACGTCAGATTCGTTGGCAGACTGACCGAGTCAGAATAATCACTGTATTTGGCGGGCTGATAGCTGTAGCATGCTGGTCACTGATAGCATATAGCATAGCTGATCACTGATAGCCTTTCAGTCGCTGGCAGGTGGCTTGGCAAGAGCGATGTGTGAAATGAACCAAGTATCGTTATTTGCGCATGTTCTGGCCCCTCCTCATCCTGCTGCCAATATTTATCCATGATAGCATATTTTTTTAGCCGCATTTACTTTTGCGCCTAAGGTGCTATTCTCAACCTTTCGCGTCATTAGGGCTTAACGACGCACTCAGCTGCTGAGGCTATATGGCGCCGCCTACCTCTCACCCCGTCAGGAAGGGCGGGCACTGCGGGGAATCGAACCCCGCATCTCTGGTTTCCCAGACGCGTAGTGGGTAACGCAGACGCATTAACCACTACACTACCGGCACCACTTTTCAAGCTTTTAAATCCCAGGTGCCTTGCCGTCACAGCTAGTAGAACTGCCATATGTCTAAACATGATTCAAAACTTGCATCAGAGGCTTCCAGCTGGTGGAAAACTAACCGTCCTGCGTTGATGCAACGATCCCAGCTGACGTATTTCAGACATGACAAAGTCAATGGTCACATTTTCTTGACCTTGAATGTCATATGGCCATTGAAGAGACGGAGCTTGTGTGGAGTTTTTATCGCCACATATCTCGATGATTTCGAAATGGGCGGCGTAAAAAAGACCGCACGAATTCGCTTCTCCTAGCTCGGAAACAAGAGGATGTCAAGTTTTAAGAAAGACATTTTAGGAGAGTACACTGCAGGTCATGATCGTCAAAATGGTTAATCTCAGTTAAAAACCCAATACAAATATGAAGCAGTTCCTTTTAGTACCGTGCTTAAATAAATGGCCACATGAGAAAATGGCGACATGCCAATTAACAAAAACTGAAAGAGCGTCATGGAAAAAACAATCGTTTTGGGAAATCTACCACCTAGCTTATGTGGTAGGCGCAAAGGTTGCAACCTTGCGATGGTGAGATGGAGTGAGAGATTTTCATACAGGTGTGCAGCTCCTATAAAGTTGTGGGTCTGTAGCCCCCTCCCCACCCCCAAATGGGCCACTGGACGCCACGATCTTGGACGTTTTGACGGCTCACCTACACAGCAAACAACGCCCAGTCAGCCATCCAATATTTTGTGTTCACGGTCTTCAAGGTACCACTCGCCAGGTTCCAATTAAGTGTGATCCTTTTGTGTTCCGCCATTCTGTCGTTCGCCGATTTGACTCATCCATGCTTTGCTAGGCAGTCATTTTGCAGTTCGCCGTTAAGCTTATCGTCCTTTTGCCATGTGGAACTTTTTACTGTTTTTACATGTCGCCATTTCTTATTTGCCATTCAGCATTCGACAAAAAAAAACACTCGCCAAATGGAATTTTCTACGTTTTGTCCTAGAACCCATATACCGGGCTTCTGGCCCTCCTGAGTTTAACGCATAGGTACTCATATACCACGATCACCATCCGAAACATGGATCACACACTCGACCGGTGTCCAAATTCGCTGCGTGTCCCCGAACTTCACGTTTAATCAATCATTCCGCCTGCCACCTTTGCCCTAGAATATTGCCCCACTCGCATAGCCTTGCGCACCATGTGAACTAGTATCTGGTACACTGGCACCTGGTACACTGGTACTTGGTACACTGATACCTGGTAGACTGGTACACTGGTAAAATGGTATCCTGATACACTGGTAAAATGGTATCCTGATACACTGGTACCTGGTACACTGGCACCCTGGTACCCTGGTACACTGGCACCTGTTACTCTGGTACCTGGTACACTGGTATACTGGTAACCTAGTACACTGGTATATGGTACCTTGGTACACTGGTGCATGGCACCCTGGTACACTGGTACACTGGCACACTGGTACACTGGTACACTGGTACACTGATACCTGGTACACTGGTAAATTGGTACCTGGTACGTATCATACTCCATTGGGCGACGTCACCACATACATCGCGAGAAATACACACCAGCCGACGCGTTTTGAGTCATCACGCAAGATAACCAACCCACTCTGTCACAACCTGTCTGTCACCTGTCTGTCACAGTCTGACTGTCACAGTCTGTCTTACGGAATTGATCCAGCGTGCGGGCGCCGCACACAGCGTACGCACCAAAGCTCTCAGCACTGGTTACCTGATCCTCGAGTTTAGCTCGAGAGGCTCTCAACTCTGGCTATCTGATCCTCGGGCCTAGTTCGAGAAGCTCTCAGCACTGGTTACCTGATCCTCGGGTTTAGTTCGAGAAGCTCTCAGCTCTGGCTATCTGATCCTCGGATCTAGTGCGGGAGGCTTGTACGGTACGTTTGTGAGGAGATTGTTACAGGTTCAGACAGCCTTTTGGACGAAGAAAATATCAAGGGAAGGCGTGCGCGTGTCGTAACTTTTTCATAAGTATGGATCACGCTGATGATTGTAAAGTTTGTAGCACAAATTTCGTATGTAAAAGTGCATATATGTTTCAGCCGTGGTCTTCCCTCAGAAACGCTCAGTTCAATTCAAACAATTCAAAACAATTCAAACAACAAAAAACAAAACAAAACAATTCAAAAAAACAATAACATATTCACGACGAGAGTATTTCTAAAGAATCAGCTGTTTGCTTTGACCGAAAATGCATGTGTTTACTGAGGAACGTCATCGGCTTAAATAGTCATAGCTCATGAAATTATATATATATATTTTTTTTTTCATGTGGGTCGCTGGTTCGGGTGTGCTGGTATGCCCGAAATAATTAGCTCTGATGGATTAATGTACGAGTGCGAGTGATTAATGTACGTTTTCAACAGCCGTAAAACCGTGATGCGATGTTCACGTTGAGTGATGACTAAAAACTCCGTGTGTTAATGCACAAGGTTTAAAATGACTGTGATGAGGTCAAACGGCGGGCGTGTTGCGCCAAGTTTAGTGCCTCCGGGGTAATGATGCGAAACTTTTGACACGACCTGGGAGTCATCTCGTGGCCAGTCGTCCGCAGCTGCGTCAATCCGCGTGATGAAGGTCTCCGCTCCAGCCCATCCCCAGCCACTGCCTCTCCCCAGCCGTCTTGTATGGAGTGTTTTCTGCGCCGGGTGAGCCCCGTGTCCGCTTTGGGGTTCCCCGGGACGGGCGCGGCGGCGCCAGAGCGTGACTTGATGGTTATGGCGCAGCAGGTGCAGCGAGCGCATCCAATAATAGCGCCGGGGAAAACACGGCGCAGTAAGAGGCTGCCGTGCGACTCTGCCGTCGGGGGGGGGGGGGTGGGGGGGGGGGGCACCGGTGTGACCTGAGGCGGGGTCGCAGAACGGCAACACCTCAGGTCACATCTGGTGCGACGGGCCGGGCGCCGGGTGCTCTTGTGCGGCCGGGTGATGACGGGCTGGGTGCCAGGTGCTCGTGTACGGCCGGGTGATGACGGGCTGGGCGCCGGGTGCTCGTGTACGGCCGGGTGATGACGGGCCGGGCGCCGGGTGCTCTTGTGCGGCCGGGTGATGACGGGCCGGGCGCCGGGTGCTCGTGTACGGCCGGGTGATGACGGGCCGGGTGTCACGTGCTCGTGTACGGCCGGATGATGACGGGCCGGGTGCCACGTGCTTGTGTACGGCCGGGTGATAACGGGCTGGGCGCCGGGTGCTCTTGTGCGGCCGGGTGATGACGCAATGGTGACGGCTTGCTCCGGCCGCCGCGCCGGCACGCGCACGCGTGATGGCCAGGGTCCGGGTGTGTGGCCACACTCACAGTGACAGTGAGTCACACTCAAACTCACACTCACAGTCACAGTCGCAGTCACAGCCCTGCAGCGGCAGATCTTCAACAGTGCCACGTCAGCCGCTGTCCGGAGGGTTGGCTAGCTCGCGAGCCCACTGTCAGCGCGCCGCCACCGTCCCTCCCTCCCCCCGCCCTTGCATCGCCGCGATCTGACCTTGGTCGTGGTGCGGCGACCAGTCTCGCACCGAGCGGGGCTCGGATGACAGGGCTGTCCCGGGTCGACCGGTGGCAGTGTCCGCAGCGTCCGGAGTCGGATCCAATGCGAGATGGTGGCGCAGCTTCTTGATGCGCTTACCGCGCCCAGGCCAAACAGCACGGTGTCGTCCCGTAAACGGACGGCCACTGGTGTGGTAGGCAGCAGCGGCTGCGTAGTTGGTGCCGCGTCACCGCCGAGCCGCAGCGCCGTCTGCAGCGCGGGTATGCGGCGGTGTCCGCCGTGGCACGGCGACCTTGTGGGCTGGGCTACCGGCACTGCTATGCTATGAGCTTAGGGGAAACTGTCTTC